GATTCAGTTCCCTTTTCCATTGCATATTTCTGAATCTTTGACATAAGTCATTTTATATTAATTGATCTTTTAATATGTCTTAATAATTGCCTTAAACATGGCATTTTATAAAAATTAAAAGCAAAAAAAAAGTAGAAAAATTTTATGGAGTGAGATCCATATATATACATACATACATATAAATCAGATATATGTGTGTATTATCACTGTCATCACCATGATCATTTTATCGTCATCTCATTGGGCTTTCCATGTCAAATTGCTCCTCTTAAATACTGTTGCCACCGCAGAGGCTTCTCAGTGTCCCAGACCCTAACCTAATCATCTCTGGTCACAGCACAGACACAGTATTCTTCCTTACAGTCTTCAGGGTCTCCCACTAAACTCCTAAAGTGCATTTCCTCTCCGACACACCTAATTTTCTTTTTTTCCTCTATGAAAACAAACAACATACCTGGAAGAGTCTCTTCTCCAACATTCTGACTCAACTGTTTTAGAGGGGAATTTAAAATCTACCTCCTTTCGGAAATCTCTCCCAATTAACAGAGATTTGTTATGCCATTTGCATCATCCCGTGCCACCTAATCAGGTCTAAGCCCTGTGTATAAACTGTGATAGCAGTGCAGCTGAAGAATACAATGTTATTTATGCTCCTTCCTACTCAGTTTGTTATTTGATGTGCATTATAGCTATGCTTGCATTTTTGTGCAGTCTCAGAGACAACAGACAGATCTAAGACTAACCATGTTCGTGGAGCATGTCATGTCACCGTGGAGCCGTGCACTTCCTATAGACGCTGGTTTTCCTTTTCCTGATAATGACTCAATGGAAAGAGACATTTATTAGGAATATTTAGATAGTGTGTATTGGCTATTTACTTGGGTTGACTTCTGCAAGTTTAAAACAATTGGCAAGTTCTTGACATCAGAAACCTATAATTTAAGCAATAACTTGACCAGGTGAAAATCTTTATAAAACTGTATGCAGTAGGCTTTGGAATTTTGTCTACAGCAATGGAAAGTAACACATTACAAACTGAAGGCTTAGCAAGGCAAAGTAAAAGTCAGGCTATTTCAGGAAGATGAAAATAAAATAAAATAAATCTAGTCATACAACACAAACACTACCATAATGGAATACATATATCACCGTTTCAAACAGAAATAAAAGAATCATGACCCTAAACTCAGGAAACGTATAACATGTATAGTGAAGCATGTATTTGTCATATGATCTTTATTAAGGCTGGTGAACATTATCATCAGTGTCTATCTGAAAGTAATACTGTGCTAAGTATTTACCTTAGTGGCTTGCAACAAAATAGACATTCATATGCCTGTCATTCTAATTCTCAGTACCTGCCCCCAGGATGGGATCTCTACTTTCTGTGTCTATTTCTTTGCACCCAAGCATCTTACTTGTCTCCTGCCCTCCCCTTACTGTTAAAAAATGTGATTATAGTCCTAAAAGGAAAGAAAAAAATATTTTTTCAGTGTTGTTGTTTTGTTTTTAACTTTTTATTCCCAAATAATTGTGTCCTCATTCTGGTTACCATATTATGTTTGAACTGGGAGAAAAATCTTTGCTAGATGGTGTGTATGTGTGTGTGTGTGTGTGTGTGTGTG